GGAACAGGGAGGGTGGTGAACTGGTAAACTGATGGAGGGGAGTGAAGGTCACTAACCAGATATGGATTTAGAGTCAAGTTAAACCCTTCTTAATTGAAAACATAGTGCCACAATTAAAACAACAACAAATAAAAAGAATTTCTATTGGAGGAAGAAAGAGGCAATTTGTGGAAAATGGAAAACATTCCTCTTGAAAGTGGTTAAGAAGGATGAGTGGGAAAAAGACCCAGAATAGGATTTAAGTAAAGAGATGTATAAGGAGCACAGGCTCTTCTTTGTTATGCCACCATCACCCCCAAAATCAAAAATGAAAGAATTCTTCCAGTGGTACACTAAAGCAAATTAAGCAAAACTTCAGCTACTTCATTAATGTTAGTTTGCTGCTCCAATACAGATGAAAGAAGGTGACAAACTGCCCCTTACAATAACTAGAAAACCTATCAGATCAGTAGAACCTATTCTGCAGTACCCACAATGCTCTCTCACACAAAGCCACCATCCTCAACCCAAAAAAGACATGGTATGAAATATTACCATTCAATAAAAAAATCATTATTTGGTCCCTTAAGTAGGCCCTGAAGTAGAAGGCAGTGGTGAAAATTTATCAGGCATTTTTCTTCAAATGGAATGTATGCTCCAGTAACCTAGGAGCTCTATAGTACATGAAATTTTAACGGAATTCTTAATGTCTTTTAGGTTTTATAAAACCACAAAGAGATACTCATCATGTGCTTTTACCACAGCAGATAACTGCTAATGCCTCTAGTACACAACACTTTCACAGTGGTTTGAATACAAGTTATCTTCCACTCTCTTGGTGAGCAAATTAATGGGATCAATAAATTTTTCAGTATCTCCAGATAAAGACTCTTTACCTTCACAAGCCTGACCAGTAAATTCCTTATGTACAGAAGGGATCACAAACAACTTGTTATGTGGATTCCCTGAAAGGTTAGTCTGCTCTGAGAAACAGAAAATGTCAAAGGCCTGGGAGTTTTCAGATGTGAACCCACACCCTGCTATGGGAAAGGTTTGTGGAAGATCCTAAAGGTCAGATGTGAGGGTCACCCTTATCAACAAGGTCATATGTTAAGTTAAACTGAAACCAAGAGGAGTTTACTCCCTGGAACCACAGCACTCTGATTACAGTAAATGTATATTTAAAGGGCAAGGAGGTTTAAAAGTTATGCTTAAAAGCGTATTTACCAGGATAAAGAAATATGTACCTTAAAGAAGTTGTTCTTGGCTCATTCCCATAAGAATTTCCAATAGCATTAAACTTCAAGCTACTTGCTACTTCCAGATTTTATATATATATATATATATATATATATATATATTTGTAGCTATTCATCTTTAGTTCCCTCTGATTGAAAACAATAATGATTTCAGAAGGATTGAAAAAAACCCAACAAAACAAACATAATTTTTCTGCGTATTTTAAACTGGTAATTTTTGTATTTATTTTTGTTACAGTCAGAAAATTTTGCTCATTTTATCTTGTGACGTTTTGCTTTGGTTATAAGAAATGATAATTCAGAGCCTTGTTATCTTTTAGGAGAGATAAATGAGAAAAAGGCCATTATCTCTCTTTACAAGGGGAACATGCGGGCACTAAAATACATCCTTGCCTTTCAGCTAAAGAAACCTTGAGCAGACAGACAGGGGCTTAGAGTAGCTTGAGAACAGAAGAGGAAATTCCACCAGAATTACTTCAGCCCCGTCAAGTTTTTGGTTTTGTTTTCATTTCAGGAGGAGGTTTTGGCATTGTACAACCTCCCTTCATCCTCCTCCTGCCTGGGTTATCTGACAAGTTTGAGCTCCTTTATCTGCAGTGCCCTGCTTCCCATCCTTCCCTGTCAGCCGTGGCAGGCTCTGATGCTCCTCCTGGAGGCACACACTGCCCAGGGAGACCTTCCCTTGGGATAATGGGATGCACACGCAGCAGCTGAGGCTGTTCCCCTGTGGCAGCACTGCTGTAAACACAGCTTGAGCTGAGCTGCTGCAAGGTGGGATCCTGTGGTGGCAGGGATGGTGCCTTGCCACCGATGCTGACACCACGGGATGTGTGGGAAGGAATCTCCCACCACCCAGGAGCATCCCAGCTGCAATTTGCTCAGGGGCTGGAGTAGCACTTTCATGGTAGGTGTCGGAACTCAAAATGTCCCTCAGACATTTTTGGATGTTCCAGGTCCAGGTCAGAAGCATTAGAGACCCTGGCAGGCAGCTGCAAACAGCTGTGATTTTGTGTTTGAGCCATGGAATGATTTACCAACTGTGCAGGAAGAACAAGAAGTCACAAAAGTTTAGATATTATAGTAGAAGTAGTCACAAAGTAGAGAGAAGAAGCAGTCGGGAGTCAGAGAGGATGTCAGGGTGTGTGTGTGCCCTTGCCTGAGCTGCTGAGCAAACCACAGCAGCTCAAGAAGAAAATATTTTAGATAACTTGCAATAAACTACCTTGAGACTGAACAGCAGAGACTGCTGAGTCTTTCTTTGGAAGCACGGGTTGGAGGAGAGACTTTTCCACCACCCTGACCTAGAGGTGAGCTCTGGCAGTAGGTGGATCCACAGTGTCCTGATTAATTTGAGGAAAGCCAAGCTGATTCAGAGTGCTCAAGTCCAATGCCACTGAAGACATTAAAACAAGCAAAGCTCCCAGCTCTCATTGGAAGACCATTCCCACTCCCATTCCCCCACACTCAGGGACACTGGTAAGATTTCAGGGTGGCAGAAAGCAGAGCACTTCCCTGGGACACACCAGCATGGAGCAGCTCCCAGGCAGGGTGAAGCGCTTTGCTTTGACTCCTTCTGAAGCTACACCCTTCCAAGAGACTCCAAGAAGGACAGGAGAGCAGAGAAACCCAAAGGAATGGAGTGGTGGCTGTCTGAGTTCCACACTGATGCAGCGAGCTCCTCACTCCCTCTGCACAGACACAGGGATGAAGGACACTCTCCTGCTTTTTGTGATGTTATCACAGTGCTAACGATTAACAAAAGCAGCACTTTCCTTTTTTAAAAAAAACAGGGTTGGACAAATGGTCAGGGATATAAGCTCATATTCTCCCTAGGGCCAGGTTTCAGCATTATTATGCAAATAGAAATTGTCTTATGCTGTGGATTCACCTAAGGGAATCAGCCCCAGAATCTGAAAACCAAAGATTCCTCAAGGTGAGCAAAAGCTTCAAGTTCTGCCCTAAAGTTTGGTGCAATTTTAGAGGTCAGACTGTGCTTCTCCAACTCCAGCCAAGACCCTTCTCAGGGATTCTGTGCTTCCTTTCTTTAAAAAATCCCAGTTTTTCATGGAACTAGACACTTCCACCAGTAACTCAAAAGAAACACTTTTGCCTTGCAAGAAACATATCAACGAAAGATAACTTACTGATTTATTTTCTAAAAGTTGTGCTCTAACTAACATGGAAGCCTGATATTGGAAATTGATGGTTTCTCTCTTAATGAATGTTGAGCCATATATAGGCCAGTGTTATGAGGCTCCCATCAAAACAAAAGGCCCCTTTTATTAATGGCTACTTTATCATTTCAAACATGTATGTTGTTACTTAAAATGGCAAATTGCTTTGCACTGTCCTTGAAGTGCATTGCATAAATATTGTATTCAAGCCTTAGCTTACACTTCATAAATAATATATTTTTAAAATACCCTTCCATGAGACCACCAGCTGGCAAGATGTTCAATTTTCTGGTAAAAACATGTATTTATTGCAAGTCTTATTTTAACTTGTTGAAGATTTGCTAAAAGCCACAAGTGACAGATGTTGTAAGAACTGTATTCAACCCAAAACCTCAGGAAGCTGAAAGCCTCATTCTCCTGGTAGGTTTTGTACCTCTGCATAAGTAGTTTCCTTTGCAGGGGAAAAGCTGAAATCTATTCAAGAAGGCTTTCAAGTACTATTTTCTGATAACCCAGAAATGACTGACAGCAGATTATGTGATGATCAGAAAAGTTTATAGATTTCATTACATCTCTTTTCACTACAATCCTTCCCCCACCATTTCCATTTCATGCTGCTGCATTTAAACTGCTGTACAAACTTGTTCAAAGTGCTCGACATTAAAAAAAAAAAATCAAAGGAAATTTCAGATAATTAACTTTGATGAATGAGCATATTTTAATTCATGTCTGGTAATATTCTTGTTAATGACATGTCTGCTTAGGACATCCATTAAAAGTCCATTAAGTTAACAGGGAAAGTCTAATAAAGTTATCCTGGAAATTTTCTGGTATATTAATATTATGGACTTTTAATGAATATCTGCTGTAGGAACTGCTATTAGCAAGGCTACTATTCTAATTAAACTTGGGCTCTGAGAGTGAAAAAAATGCATAAAGATAACAAAAAGCAGAAGTAGCACTTCTTTTGAACATGGCTATAAGGAAGATGGGTACAGGTCACAAATCATACTATCAGTAACAACTAAAATATTACTATATCGTAGCTTTTTTATAGCCTGCCATCCAATACACCCATATTGAGTGTGTCCTTCATGTCATCAGTTGCTGAGGCTCCTTTTCACTCCTCTATTGTTGAGACTAAGCAGTACAGAAAGGCCTTCCAGGGTAGGAGACAAAAAAATTTAAACACAGTTTCTCACAACAATGCAGAGTAAAAAATGCAATTAGGAAGTCTGTTCCCTATTTCTGCTGACATTCACAATAATACAGCAAAATATCTTTTTATATGTATATATCTTTTATTCATAGAATCAGAGAATAAGTTGGGAGGAACCTTAAAGCTCACCTCATTCCACCCCCTTGCCATAGGCAGGGACACCTTCCACTAGACCAGGTTGCTCAAAGCCCCATCTCTCTATATATATTTATATCTTTTTAATATATATATATATATATACATAAAGCTTTTTCTTAATATGAATAAATATGTATATTTATTAATATATTGTGTATTTATTAATATTTATATATATGTATATTTATTAATATTAATATATATGTATATAAAAAACCAACCCTGATATACCTATTTTTTCATACTTATCCATCACCAAATCTTCCAAACCAATCATATTCCAGAAACTGTCATCCCAACCTCTATCTGATGTGTATGTCCACTTGCACACTACTGTACAGAGAGACCTAAAAAAGAGACAATATAGGCACAGTGTCAGGCAAACGAACATGTTTGGGTTTAAACTTGTGACTAGAAACAAGTTCCTGCAAAAGGATCTCTTTTCTACTGGTCAAAAACTCACACAGAATGCTCACATAAAAAAAAAAAAACAAAAAAAACCAAAACCAACTGGTTACTGTTTAGAGTGCACATCTTGAGGACCTTAAAAGGACCTTGTGTTTAAGATTCTTCTCTGCTGAAACAACTCCTGGTCTGGCCACTTCACTGCATAAATCAGCCAAATAACAGGCTGTGCATGTGCCTGGGGGAGAGCAGGGCAGGAGCACAACAGCTCTGGAGCAGGCAGCTCAGAGTGCTGCTCTTCCAGCCTAAATGGCTGCTTTGCACACAGCTTGTCCTTAGGAAAACTTTGTGTTACTTCTCTCACAGCTGAATCACAATTTCCAGGAGATCTGGATGATGGGGACAGATACACCAGTCTGGTTGCTGAGAAGCTGATGTTAAACTCTGCTGGCACAGGCAGGAGCAGAAGGATACAGAGGATAAGAACACTCAGAGCAAAGTCTGTCCTAACACACAGAATGGTTTTTATCAATATCCCTTATTCCTCCCCAAAGTATGAACAATATTCCTGATAATTTAGTATCACGTGGGCTGTTTTCTGTCTGAACACTGATCAAAAGATCAGTATTAAACTGTGCTTGAAAAGTCAGGCAACTAAAAGGTGTTAAAAATGCTAAATACCACTGAAAACTGCAGCTCTGTGCAGTCCTGGGAATACCACAGTACCAGCAAGGGCAAGACAGCTCACATGCATCTCGGGGAAGCACAAAATCATAACTGTTCTCAAAGAGAAACCCTGCTCAGAGGTGGATTTTCTTTGATGTTTTACAAGACAGCTTATTTGTGACTCATGTTTAGCCAAGGTGAGCTTACACAGACATATTCTCTTTATTAGGATGGTACAATTTGAACGTGTATCTTCAAAGCAAACTCAGTTTTACTGAAGCATTTGACTTTTTCTTGCAGTTTTGCATAAGTAAAAAACATAAAATTTATCTTCAAAATTATTTTCTGGAGTAAAAGGAAATCTTCCCTTTCATCCAAGAAAACTACCCAGGGACTGAAATATGAATCACAGATTGGGTTGGGCTGAAAGGGACCTTAAAGCTCATCTTGTTCCAACCCTGCCATGGGTAGGGACACTTTTCACTAGCCCAGGTTGCTCTAAGCGCCATCCAACCTGGCCTTGAGCAGAAAAAGAGAAGCTATTTTTATTTTTTATCTGCAAACAGAAGTTAAGAGCTTATAGCCACTGGTACTGCAGACAGAGAAAAGCCAAAGAAGAACAGGAAGAGTCTTTCCACACAGCTGGAAAACTATCTGGGATATGTAGTTTATGTTTTGGGGGGGTTACAACAAGAAGCAACATCCTCTGATGTGACACTGAGCAGAAGATGGGATGGTTACATGGACTCTCTAAACTCTCACTTTCTCATCCGGGACAGAAATGTGCATTTTAAATGCCTTATGTTTCCTTCCATCCTGTAGGACTGAAGTAACCATGTTTTTACAACCAGAGGACAAGTGATGGTCATTCACATCCCATTGGTTGTAAAGATGTATTGGTTGCTCTTTGCTGCAAGAGAGCAATTAAAATGACATATTTTTGGGGGTGGAAAAAGACATTCATTAACTATTTATATCCCTAGAAATAAATGCAGTCAATAAATGCAGAGATTATTTCAGGACTACTCTTAAAACATTTCTGACACCCCCACCCCTTCTTTTTTTTCATCTTAATAGTTTAAGAATAGACCACACAATCACAACTCAGTGTCTGGTTTGAAAACAGAAAAAGCACATGACCTGTAACTACAGCAATGACAATGTTGATATAAGGAATTCCAATTTCCAAGGATTTAAAAGCCAGACACAAAAATCTAATTAGGACCTTTGACAAAAACTGGGTGAATAAATAAATTCTAGGCTGAAGAAAATACTGGGAAAAAATAAACATTTTCCCCAAATCAGTTCAAACGGCTCATTAAAAGGAAAAATAAAGACAGGGTATTTGAAATAAAAAGCACTTCATCAGTTTAGGAAAAATTTAGATATAAAGAGCAAAAAACAATGCATCAAGTTTTCCCAAATATGGGAAATACCAAATCATAACAAATTATCATCAGAACCGAGTATGTCTTTTTCTAATTAGATTGAAGCTCTGAACTAATGCCACACCCTGAGAAAGGCTCCACAGACCATGTTTGAACCAGGGGCCTGCTGTCCCACAGCTCCTCTGTGGAACAACAGCACACACACAGGCCCACGGAATCACTGGGGATGGGGAGAGATCCCCCCTGCCAATCCACAGAATTCCAGCAGATCCCAGCTCTCTGGCAGGATGTGGCTGCACTGAACACATCCTAGACATTTATAAATGCAAAGTGCTCACAGAGCAAGGATAAACAGAGGAGTTCTGGTTGAATTTTTAACACAGTATGGAAAATGAACTGAGACAGACAACTCTTCCCAAATGAATTGACTGGCAGATCTTTAAGTGGAAGGTTCTGGTCTGAAAACCAGTCTCAGATCTAACACTAACACATTACATTGGCAGGTTTCTATTTTCATGGCCACAGCAAGAAACTCAAAATGCTTGTTTTAAACACAGTCTGAGCATTTACACTTCTCGGGATTCAATCTCTTTCTTCCGCTCTTGCTGCACTCAAAAAGTTGGTGTTTAATGGAACAATATGGCTTCATACAAATCCCTATTATCAAAGAGAAAGTGTCATTCTGCAGAATGGCATTCTGCTCTCTTAGATAACAGTAAAAAGGATTTTTTTCTGATGGCCATGATGGATTAACATCACCACATGCTTCAAAAGCATCTGGATGGGCTGAACTCAAACCCCTGCCTCTCACCTGCTGAGATGCTCAGTCTGTATATCCTAGAGAGGTTTATGCACATGCAGAGAGAGCAGTTCATTCATGGCTTGTCACTGTTGAAGTCCATGGTATAGATGTATATTATATATATTATATTTACATATGTTTAGATATATATGTATAAACCTTACAGGAAATCACTCAGAAATTTTCCTCCAGAGCATCACCCTGAAAAGGGGATAGCACAACTCCTAACTTGGAGCTCTAACCAGGAAGATACTATGGGAAGGAACCACCTGAGGAACCAAATCTGTACACATGCAAAGAAAGCCTCAACTGTGAAAAAATTTTATATTTCACAGAACTCCTGAGTTTGATGAGATGAAGAGCAGACATTAAACAGAAACAGTACTGGTATCTACCATGGTGGATTCAATTTTTCCTATTTGGCAGCATTGCCTCAATTATTTGGCCATAAACACCCATCCTGTTCTGGCTGAAGCTGGATGAACCAGATGGGTTGAAGCTAAAGCTCCTCTTACTTTATTCCCATGATCAGCTGGGTTCAAAGGGGCAGAGAAGGGGCAATCCCAGAAGGAACAGCCCTCTCCTGGCTGCCTGATCCACCACAGGAACCATACATGGAACCCCTCAGTAGCACAAGCCATATGTAGCCTGTCTGAAATACCATGAGTTTGGAGACACTTTTCCCCAAGCATATTCCCAGCACAATGAAATGAAGGATTTCCTTTCTCTGTTCAGAACAAAAAGTTTTGCTTGGAATATTCCTACCAAAAAAAACAAAAAAAAAACCAAACCAAAACAAAACAAACAAAAAAAATAAAAATAAAAAAACCATCAACCAAAAACCAATCATCATGCACGGAAAATTTTTATTTTTTTATTTTATTTAAACCAGATTTTCAACAGGAAAATTATTGTGTTTAGAATTTCCTACAAGTTTCTTGCTGAGGACTGATTGGATGTGAAGTCCTGCATGACCAGAATCTCAGCAGTCTTAAAAGTGAACACACACTTGCAATTTCCAAAATGCTACCTGGAAGCAAGTAACCTGTGAAAGAATCTGGGCCAACTGGACTTGTGATCACTCAGGTGATCAAAATTTGGTTTTGTGTGACTCTTCCCACATTATCTGCCCATTTCGAGTATTTTCTCTCACTCTGTTGTACTTCTTGGAGAGAAGGAAATCAGATACATTCATTGAAAATGGGCATGCTCTAAGTTATCAGCATAAAAATGTATCTAAAAGATAAAAGTCACAAAAAACTTCTCCCCAAGCTACTTAGGAGTCACCAGAGCTTCACTCTTTGGTCCTTTCTTTGTTGCCACATCTCTCACATTCCAAAAGGGATGAAGCCAGCACAGATATTATTCCCAAACCTGCAGAGATCCTGCCCTGCCTGGGACAGCACCTGCTATGAAAATAATCCTGGGGGTTACTCCTCAACTGCAGGTGTCTTGTGGAAGTCATCCCAATTTTGAGTACAGGTTGATAGGTAAGTCCCATCAAATAAAAATTACTAAAATAAATAGGTTTTTTTCCTGAAAAGTGACCCCATAAGGCATTTCTACGTGACCTTCCATTCCAGAGGGCTGGTAGAAGATTAGTTAGCCTGGAAAATTAGTCAGTCACCAGCTTGAAAGGCAGAGAACCCCTGGCTGGGGCATCCTGAGGTGAATGGCAGCTTTGTTCTCAATTCCAAAGCAAAGGGATCTGCTCCATTCATCCCAAGTGCTCAGAAATGAACCTAAACTCATGAACTTAATTAATTTTGTAGGCATCATTAACAGCACAGCAGTTCAATCACTGGATCACTGAACTGAAGCCAGCTGCACCTGCTGATGGCTGTGCCAAAGCTAAATCCTACAGAGGCAAGGATAGGCTACAGCTAGATCCGAAAAGGAATACTGTGCAGTAGGATACAGTAACTCTCTGTGGTCTGTTGGGCAGATTTATTTAAAACTATAAAGAATCAAAAGCTAAGAAAGCTTTATGACGTTGTGAACACAAGGAGGAGACCTGAAACAATGGAGTGTGACTGTCACAACATCAAATGATTGTTCTTTTGTTCTACAAAGTTTAAATTTAAAA